AACACATTTCATTACACCAAATACACAAAATAATGTTCTTTTTAGCAGCATCATATGACCCCTTTAAAAACAAAAACTAAAAAATTAAGCCTCGGCCTCAAACATCTTCTTCCTGCCATCCATACCAGCCTTGTCTTCAACATTCTTACGCCAGTCACCAACATCACGCAGTTCCTTATCCTATGAAGCATAAATTAAAGACATTTGGTCAGTGAGCCAAAAGATTTAGGGTCTAAGATCAGCATCTTTCAGAATTTAGAAGTTTCTAAGCTCTTTTGGACCAAGAAATACAGGAACCTCAATGAAAATGAAAACAATGCAGTTTAACGGTCACCTCCTCTTTGACCTCCTTCTTGACTTGCTTCAGGTTGGCTCTCAGATCCAGAGACACCTTGTGCTTGGAGCCCAGCAGAGCCTGAAGCATAGCGTCGGCCGACATGCGCACCTTCCTCAGAGTTGGCTTCTTGAACTTGCCCTTCAGGTCAATAACTTTGATATTCAGGTCTTCGATCTACAGTCAGTCAATGAGGGCCATCAGTATAGAAACTACAAGACAAAACACAAACTGGATTGGAATAAAATTTAGATGACATCTTACCTCCTTCGCACTCTTGTTGACTTTCATTTCCATATCGTATCTCTCCTCATCAGTGACATCAATTTTGTGGTGAAACTCCCTGCACAGTTCCTAAAAACAATAAGAATTATTTATTTTAGTAATCCATTTACCATGTTTTCTAGGGTGTCATGCACATATTTAATTATTTGCTTTTTTAGAAGGTGAATTTATTGTCTGGTACCTGTAATGCCTGTGTGCCTGAAGGTATAGACAGAGCCGGGCAGGTCTCTCCCATGTATCTCTGCCTCTCCACCTCTCTGTCTTTTACTTCCTGTTCCAGTATACCTTTAGCGATGGAAAGCATCAAGCTCTGGGACACAGAGAGGCTGGGTGTCATTGTTGCTCATTAATGTACATTGAAATATGTTTCATTTTGAATCATATAGTACCTTTAGATGATGCTTGCGACTCGACGACATCTTTTTCCTGAGGTGTTTTGAAATCATTCAAATATATTGTGTTGAATCAGTAACTAATCACCACAAGACACTTCACTTTTTATTTTACTTTTTAAGCCCAGTATACACGAATATAAAATATAAAATTTCTGTTAGTTGAGGTAGATAATGATAATCTAAAAAGGGGAAATGAAAATATTCACTTACTCCGACATCTTGGCTGAATTTTGTTTTTGCCCCTGTGAAATAAAATACCCAATTTACAATTAACACAAAACACTGGTAATATTACAGTATGCAATAACCATTTATTCTCAAGTAAAAATACTTTTGTGCATTGGATAATGGAAGTTATCTGCAAAATGGCACATAACCAAACTAACCACCAATCATCACTATGTTCAAATAAGGCCATAATGGAGTCTTCTGGTCTAAAGTGAATCATATGCTATTTTTGAACAGAAAATCTCTAGAGATGCCCTGTGCTAAGCCTGTTTCTGGGTGATAATCAAAATCATGACCCCACCTCTATTCCTTCCCTCCCAATCATCTGAAACTGATCTAACATAAAGACTCAAACCATGACGTCAATTTTTTCAAACCCATCTATTTAGTTAAAGACTGAGCCTAACTTGAATGTTTGACCAAATGATCAAAATATACAGCAAGGCAAGATTCACCCAATGAAAAATTATGTAATTTACAAATTTACTCCCATATTATATTATATTATATTAATTATATTATATTATATTATATTATCCAATAAATGTAATAAATATAACATTAAAACATTTTTTTAATTAATTAAATATTTTTAATTAATTTTAATTAAATTGTACAACATGAATTTTCCTACTGGAATCAAAACAGTAAATTAAAAATGCTCAAAACTAAACAATTATCAACTCTCTAATCTACTTTGTATTTCAGGATTACATTCAGAATGCAATTTGCAATGCCAGGTCTAAAGTTTGACAATGAGTATCATTGTGATAATGTGAGTAAATATGTAGTAAAGGCCTTTACATTTGAGCTATGCCAACACCACAGATTTAAGCCATAGCGTCATTGTCTAAATCGCCAAAGAGATCCCTGTGCGTCATTTTAGAGCCGCCGACTGAACCCTAATATTTATTTAAAGATTAAATCTTGACGGCAAAATAAACACTGGCATATCACCTTCCAATCCTAAAAGCCGAATCGGATAGCGTTTCCAAAACTCAAATCAACACATTACATTTCAGCTACCAAGTGTACCAAGTGTATCCCAAAATAGTGCAGTGACTTTTCAATAGCAGTTTTCTGTATTTCCAGTAAGGATGCAGAATTAATGTCTTATGACAAATGAAATATAATTAAACAGGATAATTGATTTCCCAACAAAGCCTGAACGAACTCTTTTGCAAAAACTCTGAATTTTTTGAAAAGGCTCTCAATTCACAAAGAAAATAAAAAAAAAAAGAACAATTAAACAGCAAAACACCTTTCAAATGCATCACAAATAGCAAAATCCAGTTAAAAATCTGAAATTCCACAAAGAACAATCATCTGTAACAATTGTTTTTTTTTTTTTCAAACTATAGTGCAGCTGGCTAAGATGCATCTAGATGCAATTCCAACAGCATAAAAGACATGAACAATACGATAATCAAAGGAAAAACAGAGAAAACTGCATCTTACCTATGAGCTGAGGCAGACACAGCCACAGAATGGAGGAAGAATATGGTCTCTGCGGGGAGCGGGCATCATAAGTATATTGTATTCCCCCATGACCAAGGAAAACCCATCTCTCTGTTTATGGTAGTAGATGCAATCACAGAGCCAATAGGCTCTCAAACACCTGAAACACAATATCAAATCCCTCATCTCCACCCCGAACCCCCTGCATATAAATAACCCCTCTTTAGATTGTGTATATTTTTAATCAAAGTGAAGCTCACACATGAGGCAGAGATAATGAATATCAAGACACCAGCAAGAGCCCTGCATTACTTTGCTAAGCTTTTAAAAAAGCATTTCTTCAGCTTCGCATATACAGTGAAAATCTTATTTAACCTTCACTTTTAAAGCAAAAGGAATGGTGGGTGCCCCACAAACATTTTTGATTGAGTTGTGAGTTTATTCATAAAAATAAATACATTTAAAAATAAATGAAAATGAAAGAAAGAGAAACATATTGTTCATGAACATTTCTGAACATTTTTATTTTCCTGAAATGTACATTCAGAAATAATATTTGTATAACTTAATGGGAATGCTAGCAAAGCATTCTTAGAACATATTTTTGTTAGCTGGGTGAATATTATTTTTGCAAAGGCTCAGTTTATGGATAATAATTAAATCACTTGGTTAGGTTTGCCCATTGGGCGAATGTCACATACAAAATTAATATTCAGAATAATTCAATTCCAACTTGAAGATACAATGTGCAGATAAGTTGTTATGACTAGGGATGGGAAGGTTAAGAAATGTAGATTGTGGTTCATTTAACAAATCTTTTAGTGTGTTTGAGGGATAAATATTTTAATAATTCGTATTGTTAACCACAGATTAACTGCTATTCTAAGACTCCATTAGAGAGTTCCAGAGGAAACACATGGAAAAATAGCCAGGTGACAAATCATTCATTTATAAAAATGAGTTCAGCTTATTGTTTAAAAGCTCTAGTGCCACTTATAAGTCCATAATAAAAAAAGCAAAAAGTGCTCATATTGCAAATTTTACTAAACTAGAAGCAACTTTACCTTCCATTTCCAGCTTGACAAATTAACTGGAAGGGATATCAACTGTGATTTGATCTCTTTCTTGCCTTTTTTTGTTGTTGTTGTTGTTAAAACAAAGCAAAGCCAGGCAGGTCTAAATAGACTGGAAGCATTATTGCTCGTTCAGTAGATGAGCTTGTGAATGCATGCGGAGTAGCATATTTCTAAATATTTCTAACTGTTCTATTTATGTTTCCAAATGGTTGGTCTGGTGCTGATGGCTAAACTGGGACTCTTCCACCCCAGGCATTCAATTATAGTGGTGTAATTGGTACAGCTGTCAAACAGAGGGCAGGACGAGTGTCTGAAAATGTGGCAAATAAGGACCATAATGATTTTCAGTCAATTTTTAGAATTCCTATGTGGGAATGTTGGGGGAACATGTTTTTATCTCCCATTCTATAAAGAGACTGTTAAATTAGTAATGTGTCAACTGAAAAAAAAAACTGATAACACTAACACCTCTACCATTATCAATGCATTTAGTATAATTGAATAACTTAATCCTAATTTAATCACTGTTAATACCTGCTATAAACCTCATTCTCAAGTTAAGATTTTCATCATGCGCATGCAAATGCATTAATGATACGCACATCACATTTCTTGTATTCCATCTCAAGCATCTTCCCTGATACTGTTGCCTCCTTGGTAACCAAGTACAATTACAACTTTTGAGATGAAAAAATAAATACATTTAAGAGCAAAAAAAGAGTCTTAATTTCACACAACACATCTTGAAATGGTTTATGATTATTTCACTCTGTTTAAATCATCATAGTTAACAATGTACATTTGCGAAGTATTACAAATAAATGTTAAAGTTATTTTAAAAGGTTGGCAAGACAGTTTTAATGTCATTCTTATATAACAAAAAGACAAAAGCTGAATATGTTGCTATATCTTATCTCCTCTGGGCTTATGATCTTTAGTAGAGTTTAAAAAAGACAAAAAGTTGCTAACAAGTCAAATAACCAACAGCAGTCCTCCCAACCACTAGGGGCAGTTATTTGTGAAATTGGGTACTAGTATCCACGTTATCAGCTTACAATACCATAGCGTGTAAAAGTAAAACAGTAGCTTCTTGATAAAATCTGGAAATACTCAAACAAAATGACATGATCACATGCATATCTTGTCCAAGATTCACATGATTTCCTATTTGAACAAATCACACGACAAGGAAATCAGTGCATCAGATTCTCTTTAATATCAACATGTACAAATGCATTTTCTTCAAAAACGTGATACAGAAAATACATTGCCTCACATTATTCTGGTTTCTAATGCATTGAGAATGTTTTCTAGGCCAATAAAGTTAACCTGAGAGTTCATGTTGTTAGACCTTTACAGGGCGAGATCAACCATCCAAAAATATAGATTTAAATAAGCTAATGAATAAGAATAAAGCAACAGGTAATGTTCCATTTGAATCTAAATACAGCTTTGTTAATGTCAGAAGCTAATTGCAGGCCCGTAGAAGGAGGTAATGATCACACTGATTGACGTCACCACCACACTGATTGAAGTACAGGCACTGTTCACTGTAAGCACTGCTATGAAACCTTTACAACAGCGGATTCAGATGAAACTGATCTCTGCCATACATCACAAAATTACACCAACATGGAGCATTTCCTGAACATGTCAAAGCATAAAGACGACATTTTGTCTATACCTGATGAGTGCATATAGTGTGCGCGCGTGAATGTCACAATAATCACACTGGACAAGTTCAAACAAAAGGCACCAAAACTCAGGAGGGTCTTTCTTCACCAAACTGTGCACTAAATATCAAAATAGAAGAATCACTGCTGACAAGCATAAGCCATGTCAAATATATTTCCCAATAAGCACACGTACGTCACCAAGACGCACATTATATTATATTTGTGTGCAGACGTCAGAAAAACAGCAGATTCATCTAAATTTTAAACCATAAATGTTGCAGAAAACATTCCAATCTACACTAGAAGCAAGTAATGCGTTGCAAAGCATCAAAACTAGATTGTTCGCTTTAGAATCAACACTGCTAACCTACTTCGATTTATCTATTATAATAAGAGCCATCTAGGTTTCTTGCATTGGTCACTTTCAGTACAAACTGGGTGTATATCTGACCAGGGATTTTGTCAACAACATATTGCAAACTAGCTGTCTAAATTAAGATACATGCATTCTGGTGACATACGTGTGCTATCAGGGTTGTTACATTTTTCTATATGGCTAAATCAAAATACAATAGAAACCATGAACAACAATCATTATAGTTAAGCATAAACATTAGCGTAATCAAAATATTTTGATCTATATTCACTGCGCAACATTAAATCAAACTAAGCAAACGTTTCAGCAAAACTTGTGCATTTCCTTGTGGTTAGTGCAATAATAGAGCATTGCTCACCAACTCTGTTTAATTCATTTAACAAATACCAACACTCCATAAAAGGTATAAAGTGGGCCAGTTTCAATGCTTTACACAATCACAAAATTCACATTGTTTCCAAGCACTGAATTATTTGATCAAACTTGTTGAATATTACACATTTAATAAACGACACTTAGTAAATGAAATGTCTCCTCATAGAGGACTACTCTTACTGTGTATCTTTCGACCCTGGTTGAACACAGAGAAATATCAGCCAACTGTCAAATGAATAAGGAGGCCAACAAAGGTTGTGCTTTGTACTGCCAGATACAATGACTAATGGTGCTTAGTCCTCAATCTGTTAACAGAGATGTTTAGTTGATAGTACTCCAGTTTGACGTTTCAGCCTCAGTAGTGGTGTTTGCAGCCATATGTGACATTGTTTCGTCTCCTGAGAGCTCCCACTACTTTCTTCCTCAGCATAAACCTACAGAGCATGGCTATGTACCCACGTGAAGAAGAATAAACAGGAGATATATTCCCAGACAAATCAAATTGTTTAGCAGCTGCACAAAGCATGTTTGTTCTCATTTTGTTTAGCCAGAAGCAAAACGAATGACTCAAATTCTCAGGCTTTGTTTTGCTAAATGGCCACTGAACAACTTCAGTAAATTTTCACAGTTAGTACTCACACCATGACATCGAGGTCAGTTAAAACAAAAAAGCTGCCTTTCACGGTTAAGGAGGAAATAATGTACAAAATAAAAGCACAAACTACAAAACGTTCAAATAAAACTGAGGTTCCCCAAGGTTCACTATCAGGTCCAAGCCACTTTGCGGGAGATGGCCTGTTTAAAGCACTCTGGATCCGTGTTCCCACCCGGTCTCAGAGCTCTTTCGAGACTTACCAGAACGTTTTGATGGGACTCGCGAATGTTGACGGGGTGTTTGGCTCTGAGCAGCTCGTAGGCAGCTATAAGCCTCATATTTTGTTTTACCATGAGGTACTGAATAATGCAAGCGGGGGCGAGGGAAAAACCATCACGACAATGCACCAACACTCGCTTCCTTTTCTCAGTTGAGGCATCGATGCACTCATTGATGTCCTCGAAGCAGCGGTGCTTGAGTGCCAGCCCTTCTTGGACAGTCTCCGGAAGGTCGCTCATGTCCACTTTGAGCCGAGACCAACTATGCTTGACGCCCCTTGAACAAGTGCAAGGAATGACTCTCAAACAAGTCTCCCCGGGCAGGCTGCTCATGTCGATGATGCTGTCGATGTTATTACGGCACAATGTATGTCCACTATAAGCCGCGTTCAGGTTGCCCACATAAATGTAGTCCATAACCTTGGATATGACTGGTTCTGAGTACTGGAAGTGCTCAGGGACGCTCTGCTTGGGTTCTGGAGTCTCTGGGCCCGTTTTGGCACTGCCGGGACCAGCTCTGCGACTGTAGTTGCGTATTTTCTTGGATCCGGAGCGGGAAGGTGGATTGGAGTCGGACTCAGAGCTGCTGTTCCAAGGTGGGGAGAAGAGTGAAAAGCGACTAGAGGACTTGCTCTTGGTGAGGTGCTCCACCGGACTGGAGAGGCCAGAGCTGGAGGTGGT